AGAAAACAATAAAAACATAGCTGCCAACATGAATTTCGTAAATCCAGTGAATTTTACGAAATATAAATTTCTTGATAACTTTTTCAAAATGTATTAAATATTTTACATACGGGGAATTTTAGGGATTTTTATTGTAATCAAAATACAATAATTTTATAACACTATAAATGGTATGCAATTTTTTCCATTTATTGTTGACATTAAATTAACTTAAATTTTAAATGTTTTTTATTATGTTAACTCATATTTTTGAATACTAATAAACAAGTTATTTATTATTGATAGTTGAAAGATTTTTTTTAAAAATTATTTTAAATTGAGAATTCTGAACAAAAATAAATTGAAAATAATAAAATACTAATAATAAAAATAAACTGAAAATAAATCAATAAGCCTAAACTGATAACTATATATGAGGCTTGTTTCATTATGTATTAGTAATATTTATTTAAATATTCAAGTAATAAATTGTGTAAAAATTCTACCTCAAAAGGGATTTTTATAAGGAAACTTACTCAGTTTAGTGAATTTTCTAAAACATGCAATAATTAGGAGAATTTTTAGATCTTGCAAAATCCAGTAGAGTTGGCACCTATGCAAAAATTTAGTTTTATCCTTTTAGCAGTAAACCCTTCAATCTTTCTTGAAAGAAAAAACTTCATAGATCATTTTTAAATGAAACTATAAAATAAAATTTTTTTTGTTGTCATTTTTAATACAAATCATAATATATACAAGTAACAGCATCACTGAGTCCCCCCTCCCGTCATCTTTGACGGCAATTTCAGTCACATAATTTATCAATAATTCATTATAATTAATTTGTAACAACTAACAGTATCATATACAATATTCAATTTCAAAGCTGCCTCTTATGATAATTTAGAAATTGTAATACATTGCATTAACCATACCAATAATGTCACAATGCTATTATAATATAAACTACTTGATTGTTGACTTTTTCTTAAACAATTATGTGTACTTTAAAATATTTTACAATCAAAAATGTAATTAATTTCAGTTTGAGTAAAAGCAAGAGCTACATAAAAGATAAATTTTTTACAGTTTATTTCTACTTTTTCAGTAAAAAAATTTAGTCAGCTCAGCATCTTCAAGTTGATTTATATTCGGTTAATTAATCTCGTAAAATGAAAGCATAAATGGTAGAACAAATAAAATAATTATTTTGTTATTCATAAAATGGTGAACTAAGTTTTAAATCTACAATATACAAAATATCAATGCATAAAATATAATCTACAACAAATATATACTTAAAAAAAATTACATATAAGCATTACAAAAATTAAGTAATACACAAGATTGAGCAATAAATCGTCTTTGGGTATTACAAAATAATTTCAACCTTTTTCAGGGATGAGATTAGCCAAAAGGCAAAAAAGCTGAATTTCCACGATAGTAAATTTTACGCAAGCGCAACCCTTTAATAATAAATTCCAGACAGTTTAAGGTAATAAATAATGTGTTGACATACAATTGTGTACTAATCTATTATTATANTCCGCATAGCATGGATAAAATATTAAAATGAATTCAAACTAAGCTAAAAAACGGAAATGGATCTGAAAGATCTTCTAAACAAAGTAATAAAAAAAATTAAAAAAATTAAAGGGAAAAAAATAAAGAAAAACCTGTGCATGATATAAATTAAATGAATCCTTGATACAAATTCCAACGTGTATGCTTTAAGTTTGCTATAATTAGGAAATGACTATCGGCAAAAAAAGGCAAAATTTTAATTTTAAAATATTTTTATAAACTTTGGATTAAAACTCTCTAAGGATTATGTCGATAAACTTAAGAACATTTGTTATACTATCATGTAAGTCAAAAATTAATTATGTACTAATATGGAACATCGAGTTTATTTAAACTATAAAATTTTTCTTTTTTTATTTCACGATAAAGATTAAAGTTCAATGATGTGTAAGACACATAATTAAGGACATGCTAGACAGTTACTAACATAGTAGAGCTATGTATTGATTAGAAGATACTTGAAAAAACTCACAAGAACTTGATTGTGGGATTATGTCCGGCACGCTACTTCAATATTTTTATAAATAATCATCGTGTTAATGGTAGCGTTGTTAAAAATAAGTGTTTTTGTTTTGCCTTTGGATCTCTTATGTGCAAAAATACTATAAAAAATAAGTCTTTAAAGATATTACTATTAATCAGAAATTTAAGAGAAAAACTGCATGTAAAAGATCTTATTGCATTATTAATTATTAAGTCCAATTTGTTTTAGTTAGTTAAGAACATAATAAATTATACTTGACATGAATGAAAAACACCTCATGCAGGGAGGATTAAAAATGGTTTTAAATATTTAATATTTATCATTAAATACTATGAAAAGAGTTGGATTTTGCAGTTTAAAACATTTTAAAGTATAATTTGTACTTGAAATATTCGCATTTCGTCTTGTATCTTGTGCGGGTATCTAATTGTAGTGCGATATAATTATTTATTTCTTCTTCTTCCATCTCTCTGCAGTTCCTGGTGGGTCCTGGGTTGTTCCACAATTATATTCCATGCAGTCCTCTGTTTTGACTTCTTCCTAAACTGCGGAATTATTTTTTTACATACTTTAAGTTCCTCTACATTCTAAATAAATAATATAGAGCAGTAAGTTAACATCAGGAGAATATGACTTTTAATTTCTTACGCACTTGCAATTTTCATAATGTTTTTCAAAATATTCAGGTTTGTTTTAAGCTAGTTGATATAAATTTCTAATCAACATACACTGAAAAAAAGTATTGTCAAAGCTCCCAGAATTTACCATGTTTCTGACTCTATGGGACCATTAAAAACCTCGGTAATTCTTAACGAAGTGTTTTGGTAATAATTGGCAATAAAATTAACTATGAAATAAGGTTTCATAATATGCGATAAAAATAGATAAATGTGGTAAAATGTGGTAGTTTTGTCATCGTACATCAGCACATGGCATAAAAACTATCCATTCGGTTGAATTGTGCGGTAATAAGAACTATAATTTTGAAAACTAGAATTTCTGGTAAACCGTTACCATATGAAAGGAAAAGTACTAAATGAATGGCCGTATATAGCATATATTTAGGTTTTTAATACCAGAAAAATGTCTTTTTTTATCAGAAATGTAATATTATACAGTAAGGTAATTCTACCAGAACTTTGTTCTTCGTGTAGGTTTTCCATAAACTTGTCTGATTTTTAATTAAGATTGTTCTTTGTAAGCTTATACGCCATAAAAGCAAACAATATATAATTTTTATAGCTGTATTCGAAGTTTTAAAAATAGTATATTATTCATACTATAAAATAATTTTAAAAAAATAATGTTTTTAGTACATAGTATAATATACAAGAGCTATAATAATATACTTTGTATGTAACTGTATAAAATTTGTAGCAGTGATATATATATATATATATATATATATGACTATTATTAAATTTTTTTTAAAAGGGCAATTTTTTAGAAAAATATTGGTGTTTTAGGTATCTCAAATTAATCTCATTTTTCATTCTTTTTGGGTCTTTTAATTGAATTCCCTTGAGTTTGATAAAATTTCACCATTTTCCCCTGATCTGCAGCCACCCTTGTTTTTAAAAACAAAGATAAAACATAATTTGTACATTAGAGTCAGAGGACAATCAAGTAAGCACCAATGGAAGGAAGCTATAAATAGTTAAGATATAAAAAAATAAATATAAAAACAAATTTTCAATTTCATATTAGTTACTATAGACCATTCCACATTAAGCAACTTTTAATTAGTTAAATTTATATTGCTCACTCAGAAAATGACACATTCACCATGATGAAGACACAATAAAATTAAACATGAAATATTTTTATTATTTAAATTATTTCTAAAAGTATCTTCAATAAAAAGAAAGTTATTAAAACCATTAATTTTTTGAAATAATTTTAAATGTATCAAGCATTAGTGTAAAATTCAAGATTATCTACACATCAACATAAACATTTTGCTTTTCCAGAGACCTAATAGCAAAATAGCAAAAATAGCTAAAATAGCAAAAAATTTCAATTTTATATTGGATTTTTCACTAAGATTCATTCGTAACTTTAATCAATAAAGTAAGTTTAATGATCTCTATTTTAATTAGAAGAGTAACTTTACAGTGAATGCACACTTTTATGGAAAAAATTTTACAACAGATACTTCATATACAAGTCTAAATTAATAAATTTTTTGTAGTTATAAAACTAAATCATCCAGTTAATTTAGAACACTGTTCATTTTTGCCCTTTTTTTGTTTGTTCTTAGTACTTTCTTTAATCAAAACTTTCAATTGTGACCTTGTAAATAAATATAAATTTTTTCAACTAAACATTTAAAAACGTAAACAAAATTCTGAGCAATAACTTGCTCATTTTTAATTAATATCATTGCAATGAATTATGGCTGTTATACTTAACAATCTGAGTGTTACTCAAGTCGTTGCATGAATTTTCAGTGGGATAAACGTCAATTTTTCAATTAATATCATTGTAATGAATGATGGCTATTATATTTAACCCTCTGAGCATTAGTCCAGGCTTTTCAGCATGATAAAGTTTTTCCATTTTTAATTAATATTATTGCAATGAATGGTGGCTAATATGCTTATAATTAAAAAAAAAAAAACATATTTATTGCTTTTCATTGAATAGTGCTCTAAAAAAAAATCATTCAAAATAAAAATTATATGATATTAAACATAAATGTAATGATCCTAATTAATCAAATTAGAAAACAAATGTAGCAAAAAATATTTACAATACTTTAGAAAATAATTTTACAAACAATGCTTCGTATAAAAAATTATTTTTAAAATTTTTGTAACAATATATTCAGGAAACTAAGATATGTCATAAACATTTCCCTTTACTTATCAGTCTTAGATTGTTATATTTTAACTGGATGCTAAACAAATTTCTACTATAAGGCAATGTATTTTAATTTTTAACTGTTGAGTTACTTGAGTAAATATGTGTATAACTTTATCTGATAAGCAATGTTTTTTTCATTGAATAGTGTAGAAGAAAACCACTATGGAACAGAGTTAGTTACTGTAGTAGTGGCTCTTCTAACCGATGTTCTAAAATCACAAAAAGAAACGAAATGGCTAACTGAATTCTGCTTAGGAAAAAATATATAATTAGTTAGAGTTTGTAAGCAGATGGCACTTCTTACTAAGAAAAACTATAAAACAGTCAGAGGACAAAATTAGCAGATGACCAGGTAATTATTTCACTTGGAACATACTAACATTAAGGAGAAAACATTGTTTTCCTTGCAGCAATGCCATCTGCAAACAAACTTGCAAAAAATTTTGAAATTTGCCGAGAATCGGCTTTAAGCAAAACCCAGTAAACAAAATATTTTTATCTACTTCCTCTTTCCTGTGATTTTTCATCACAAATCATTTTATAGACACTACGATTGGAACAGTTCACTCTGCTGAAATGATGCCACTGACTGGTGCATCACGCCGCAAATCGAGCACATTGCATGTCGGTAAGCTTTCTTATTAAAGTGTTGCATAACAAGAGTTTGCAAGTATTATAATGAAAAATGCAATTTAGGAAAATTTAAAAAAATTCTTAGTAATTTAATTCAGTATGATAAATTTTAAAACAAGGCAGGCAAACCCCTGCATAACTTCTACCTTATGTAATGAAAGGGTTAATCGAATAAACTTTTGATTCGCAATACATTTTTAAAATATTTGACTATCAATATAAGAAAACTTAATATATCTTAATGATATTTTGGAAACCATTTATATAAACAATGAGTTTTATTAATTATTTTTTAAATAATGAAATATACAGAGAAATTTAGAGATCAGTTTAAATTCACAAAAATAAAGCTTTTTTTTTTAAAATATTCAAAAGCACATTGTCATTTCATTCATAATTTTATCCAGTTGCCCTCATAAAATATTTCATTCAAGGCAAAATATCAAAGCTTTTTCAAAAACATCCATAATGGTATAAAAAGCCTTTCAGAATCTTTGTTTTGTTTTTTTAAATAATAGCAATTCTTACTTTAACAGAGATAAGTGTATGTATCAGCTCCTAAATCCATAATTTGGACTGGATGTCAACATGGGATTAATAATAAGCTCTCTACTATATTTACTAGGATTAGATATACTTTGCAAGTCATAAATGTGTTGATGAGATGGCGTCCCCTGACTGGAGTCATAGGAAGGCTTTGGTATAGGACTGATACCAGGGCTCATTTCTATTGAAAATTCCCGCACTTCAGTGTTCGGAGAATGTGAAGATGATAGAGATGGAGGTAAAGGAATAGCAGCAAATACACCAGGTGACTGTTTAGTTTCGAAAGTTCTAGAACTAGAACTGGAGCTACTAGATGAGTAAGAACTGGAACTAGTACAGATGGTAGTATTTGGACTTCCCACATTAGGGCTAGGGATAGCAGCTGTAGCTGGAAATGTTTCACTTTTGGAAGGAAACTTTAGAAAAGGATCGTTTAAAATCTGCCTCGTGGTTGAGCTCCATGCCCATTCATCTTTGAAAACCTATAATGAATTAAACATATGAAATCAGCAAGTCTAGAATACTTAGTAGCTGTGAAATTAATAATTTCAATGTCATAGACATTTCACTGTAAAAGATTTCCACTGATGAATAGTAGCAATTATGCAGTTACTTTGGTAAATGTCTGAAATATATGCTAAAAGTCGTTTAAATTTTAATATATTCATCAATATTTAAATATTTAACATAAACATCAGTATTGAGAATACTAGGTAGATATTTCTTGTTCTGATGTCTTATTTATTTATTATTTTTTTTAAAAGGAAAGTGCCGGTGTACATTTTTCTAGCATTCCCGATCAATCCCAATCAGATATTAAAATATCGAATTGGACATAATTTTTTTTTTCCAGACATTTTAAAAGTGATTATATGATTGTCTACATACAGTGGTCAAAGTAAACATTCTCCAGATTTCAGTCTTTCACAGTTTTTTAAATTATTTCAGTAAAAGCAAAACAGTTTATTCTTATATTTTAGTAGTTCTAATAGAGCTAATTTAGCTTTCATTTTCATAAATTCTTTAATGTAAAACGATTTTATATAATCAAAAATAAATAAAAACCAATTATTAAAGTAACTTGCCAAAATTTAGAATTTACTCTGAAACCTTTTTGTTGCGTGACTATTGAAACAATAGCAAATAAAATCCTACCAAAACGTTCTCAGAAATGGAACAGCAGCATAACCATTTTGGAGCTAGCAAAAACTTTTTATATTCGGAGCTGCACAATACTAGTGAAAATACATTTTTGAGCAGATTTGACATATAAATTTATATTTATACTATTTTTAACAGAGCTTGTAAGAAAAAAAAATGACCTAAATAAATGTATAAAAAATAATGCACATTTGCTGGCAAAAGAAAAACCTAAATGAAATAGGTCATAATATTTGGAAAAAAAATTCTTTCCTTAAACTTTATCATCACCAATAATATGTATATTTTTCATAATATAACTGGTGTTAAACAGCCGACCCCAATGTTTAACTCCGTAGCTTTGATGTGCTGTGAATAGAGTTAAAATCACCCATCAACAGCTGCGATTCGAACCTGGGTCGTTTCATTGGAAAGCAATTGCTTTATCCCCTGAGCCACTGCAGCTCTAATAATATATATATATAACATTAGCAATGCAGGGCATGCCACCTTGGGATGAAAAATTTCCTCGAAATACCAATTATCCTCAATCGATCCTGCTTGCAAAACTACTGTTTTCTGATGGTCTCTTTTATCTACCACTGGAGTGTAAGTTAACAGTGAGTTCAAAATAAGTGGTTAAGAAGCAGACGGTCAAAAAATACTGAAATCACTTTTAGTCTTATGGTAAATACAGTACACTCTCGATTATCCGGTTTGCGGATTATCCGGTTTGCGGATTATCCGTGCTCATTCCGGAGTCACACAGAAAATATAAAGAGAAACATTTTCAAGATTAAAAAAATTTGATTCATGAAGTTATAACAATACCAAATTTTTGGAAGCAATATTCGTTATTGGATTGCAGTATATGTAATATCAGCAGCATGGTCAAAGGTAAAACCGTCTAGCTATCACGATCATGAATAAAGATCATACCGCTTGATGAACAATCCTCTTCAGATGTTCAAGAAAAATATGATAACAGTATTCTCGAACAAGCAAAAGAAATCGAAGGTTTCGAAATTCTTGATGAAGAAAATTTAGAAGATAGGTTTCAAAGTGATGCATGTGAGCCTTGCTTCCAGTATTTGACTGATGAAGACATCGTTATGTTGTTAAATCAAATAGTGATGATAGTAACTGATGCAGAAGATGTAGTAAATGATTGAAATACTATTTCTCATTCTGCTGCTCTGTGGAAACTTTATTACATTATATTGGAGGATTTGATTACGGTGACACTACTGCGGTTCGTAAAATATGTGTATCGATATATGGCGAAGACGCATTACACATTTTTTAAAAAAGAAAAATTCCTAGTTTGATGTTATACATGCAAATGTCAGTAATTTTTATATTTTTTGCAATGATATAGAATTTTTCTTTCACAAAAGGAGTTTTCGGATTATCCGTGTTTTTCGATTGTCCGTGCGACCTGTCCCGGTGATAAACCCGGATAATCGGGAGTACACTGTATTTCCAAACCAGGTTTTTTGCGCTGAGTCAGTGTCAGCGGTGAATACAGAGCTAGTAGCACAGTTTTCCAATCAAAAGATTTTTTTTAACATAATGTTTGAATTGTTTTGAGGTGAGTAAAAGAATGATTTTTTAAAAATATTTTAAGGTAAGATTTATACATGAAATCATTGGATGCATCTATAACTAAAAATAATGTCTCCCCAATAACTGTACAAATTAAAATAATACATAAACAAGAACAAATGAACTCCCAGTGGTGTATCAGTATAAAAAGTCAAAATTAAATATAATATACAGTTATTTGAAGGTATAGGCTTGATATATAGATGATTTATAACAATAGAACTCTCAAGGTTAGGGTAACAGAATAAATTTTCGTAATTTATTCACTGTAATTGTGAGAGCCATATTCTTACAAACTATCGCATACACACACAATCTTGAGCCCATACCTTCAAATAACATTATATGAAATTTCTTTTGAATTGGTATAGGGTGTAGGCCACTAAGCACTATAAAAAGAAAATTATTTTACATCCAGTACATATAAAGGAAAGAAATTTTTTTTCCTTCCAGCCCCACGAAATTAATTAACATACAAGAAAAATCGCTGTAGTTGTAAATTTAAGCTCAAAAGTAATAGAAAAAGAACTTTACAAATAATAAATTGAAACATGTAACATTGTATTTAAGTAATTCCTAAATTGTTAATTTTAACTTCATTGATTAATGTTAATGAAGCTTACTTGAATAGTAATATCAGTAACAAGAGATGACAGCTTATTCAACAAATGAGATAAAACTATTTGTTCATTTGCATCACGTCTGACTCTAACATGTATTGTTCCCACCTGAAAACATAGAATTAGCAATTTAAAAAAAAACCTTTCATTTGATCAAAGCAAGGACAAAAGAATGTTTCATTAAAATTAAAACAAGTGCCTATAACAAGTACTTTTTTAAACAAACTGCAAAGATATTTTATAACTGAAAATTAATACTTAATAATATGAACTAATAACTACAGAATTTAAATTTTCGACTACTTTATAGCATATTTGAGATTGAATGTAAAGACTATCAAACTTCTTTCTTTCATATATTTGAATTTGGTACTTGCACTTCAAGAAGATGACAGATAGCCACCCTTATGGCCTGTGACGTCAGCTGATTGTTTATAAGCAAAGTTTCTCCACAAAAGTTAATTATATACAGCACCGCATCGAACATCGAATTTATTGAAATATAATTCTTTCCTGTCTACATCTTTTACATAACTTAGATTTTTTTTTATTTGCTTATGTATTTTATTGTAACCATGATATATTTTTATTTTGTTTACCTGGCAACTTTGATGCATAATTAATTTATGTTCTACATGACTCCATGTCTGTCTTTGTGTTAAGAAATAATAGTGAAAGAATTTAAATCTTTTTGTAAGAATATAGAATGTATCACTTAACTCACTGGTGGTTCTGCAATTAAAAATAATTGATGCTTGACAGGCTTGGCTTACTCTAAATAGAATGGAAAGAACAGTTGCTACTGTAAACAAATGCCACATTTCAACAACCAATCAGGATCAAGATACCTACACAACGCCACTTGCAGGTATCCCAATGTAAAAGAGTAATTTATTTTAGATAACCAAAAGTTTTTATAAAAATTACCATAATTTTTTTTTTTTAAAAAGAAATTAAACTGATATAACTAGCCAACAGAGCATTTTTGATCTATTTTAATCTCACTTACTTTATTAAGTTAGCACTTATTTAAATTTTTATTCAAGCCATAGAGTAATAAATAAAATTAGTAGGGATGTTTTTCAGAAGTTTTCAAATCCTCAGTAACTTTTTAGACTATATAAAAATCAGAAGATTTAATTAGGTAAGGTGATTAGTAAAATATCTTTCGTTTAAAAAGATCCAGTATAATAGTCTGAAATGTAATAGTTTAGATAAAAATAAATGAAACAAATATCAAAATTAAAGAAGATGACCATTAAAAAAAAAAAAAAAAAATGTACAAATATTTACTATTTTGTCAAATCCCAAAAGCCAGAAATGTTCATTTCTGAATTCTAAAACTCCATCTAAAGTAGATGCTTCTCTTAAATACTTGTCTAAAAGGTCAGCAATATGTGGAGGTGTAGCCTAATGAAATAAAAAAATAAAATATATTATTTAAAAAAAAAAATGTGAGATAAATAGCAGTTTATTAATATTAAAACAAAATATTCATCTCTAAAGTTATTAAAATGAGAATAACGGTGTAAAAAGTAGCGTTTCTTTTTTTAAAAAAATATTTAAATAAGGATTTTTTTCTTTTATTTATTTCCTTTTATTTTAAGCTTAATTATTGTAAATTATACCTAGTATTGGATGTTTTTAAAATGCTAAATATTTAAATAATAATTTTAGGAAATAATATTTAAATTAACCTTTATTTAACATACTGAAACTATGGTTATTTTTCTATCAAATTTGGAAGTATTTGAGTCATATGCAAATGCATTTCATTTTAATGTCACCTATTTAAAATACATCACACATTGAAAAAACTACTGAATTTTTATTCTTGAATACTCTTCACGGGGAGGCATGTAATTTTTAAATTTTTTTTTTTCCTAACTAAATATATTTTTTGTTAAATTTTTTTTTTCAAAAGATATTTTAAAATCAAATAGATATTTTAAAGTAAAATATGGCGGCTAGATTGTGTAAATATTAACAATACAACAGCAATTTTAGATTCGCAAAGATGGATTAAAATAGTTTTTGGAAGTATAAAATACATTTGTATTAACATCAGTGACTATTTTGTTTACTTTAAACTTTATAACAAAATAATTTTTTCAATGAAATTTATATTGCCAATAATCTTAAGTCAAATAGCATATTTTAAATAAGAGGATGTGCTATTTTTCTATACTTTTATACTACTTATATACTCTTTGCCTTTTTTTTCTGGAAAAAAAAAAAAAAAACTGAACAATTAGATTTTTTTTTATTAAAACAAGAATTTGGAAGCATATGGCACTGTGTAAGATTTATTGTTTTCAACTTAGAATGAATTTAGACTGTTATGCTCATGGGTACCACTCTAAAAACATTAATATCAAGACTGAAACTTATTTTTTGACCAATTAAAACAATCTAGCGTTATTTAGCAGATTTTTCAGAAATTTATAGCTCACTTTACACTAGAATGATTCATATATTATATCAATAACTTGATTACTTTCTCTAAAAAGATAAATTTATTTTCTTTATTTTACCTTTTTTATGGTAAACAAAACAAAAATAACAGCTAACCTCATATCTTTTTACACCTATCTCTATTCATTATCTTAACTTATTTTTCCCTTTATCATCATAAATTTTGTCATTTCTATAAACTCAATTTTTTTTAAATATAATACTATATTGATTTGGCAAAAAATAGTAATTAACATTTTTTTAAAAGAAAAATTTAATTTTTACTTTAAAAACTTAATTTACAAAACTAGATGGAATTAAATATTAATTGGAGGTTTAATTTCATCGCACTGATCTTTTCAAGACTGATTTCAATCCTCAGGACTGAAAAGTGCTACCCCTGGTACTCGTGATGTGGAAGCAAAGTTTAAACTCCAACTAATATCCTTAAACTAGGGGTTTCCTACCCTAGGCATGGAACCCACCAATGGTCGTATTTGCTCTTGCTGCAGTGAAATCATGATAAAAAAAAATATTTCAACTGTTAATAAATAATAATAATTATAACAGAATTTCAAACTGTAAATTCAAATAGAAAAAATAAATTATGCCTGATGTTCAACCTAACCTTATTCTAGAATGTTCACTTAAACACAAATAGGTTGGCTATTCCTGCCTTAAATCCTTAAAAGAACCTTTAAACAATTCTCCTAACTATGTTCACTATTATGAATTAAAGTTAAGAAACCAGTAGAATTGCACTTGAAGTTTCATTAAAAAATTAACTATTGAAATGTTAGTTTATGAGGGTGACCAAAATGTTCACTATAGAAGGTTAAATTTTTTTATTATTGTAGCAAAAAAAAAAAAAGATTCACTGATATCTGCCTTTTGTTTCAATTCAGTTCAAGATTACATAAATTACACAAAAGAGGCGTATTTTATTTTTTCAGTCAAAAATTTAAATTGATATCGTTCTCACTCTTCCTGGGAAAGATTTTAAATTATTGCGCATTAGCTGTAAGCTCTATTTATAAAGTAATATATTAAACTTAATAAGTAGCACATGACCAAAAAATATTTTATTCATAACATTGATTTTAGTTCTGGAACATGAAATTTTTAAATAAAGAATCATAATATAACTATCCTTTATACAACTGCGCTATGAGAGGATATTGAAAAACACAAAATACTTATTTGCAGTTTTTTATCACTTTGGATTGTGGGGAAAAAATTGCTAGTTTTTATGTGTTTGTAAGTAATCAATTTTAAGAAATAATTCTTGCTTGATTTTTATCATAATTGTCAAATTAATGCTATAATAAGTTAAAAATTTAATTACAATTTTATTCAAATTTATGAATTTTACCTGCAATAAGATTTTTCCAGTATAGACACACACAGGAAACATGGTTAAAGAAATGAAGAATGATATAATAATTCCTGCTATTGCATCTGCACTATGGTAATCACTATACAAAAATAAATATGCACAAAAATTATTTCAAGCAATAGTAAGGTCTAAAAGCAAAAAAAAAAGTCAACAGTTTAGTCAGTTTTTTAATCATCAAATTTAAATATTAAACTTAAAATGTAAGGAACATTAAAAATAGGATAACTTAAAGCTGAAATAACAACCAAGAAATTTGAGTAGTGCAAATTCAGTTATAAAAGGTAAGTGACAAAATTAATTGAAGAGTTTAGATTAAAATTGAAAGGCCTTCCAGCATATAAAACAAGTTTTCTCTATGTTACACAAAGGGAAACTAGTGTGTGCAAGGAACTTTTAGCACAATTTTGCTCAAAGGCTCAATGCTTGAGCCGCGATGGCTCAGGGGTTAGAGCGTTCACCTTTCAATGAGGTGAACCGGGGTTCGATCCCGGTGATGACTGGTCGATACGAATTTCGCATCCGACTTGCACCGATCACAGTGCTGACGTGAAATATCCTCAGTGGCAGGCGGATCATGGATTAGAATCTCTTTGCTGTCAGGCTAACCATGGGAGGTTCTCGTAGTCTTCCTCTCCGTGTAACGAAAATGCAGGTTAGTTCCATCAAAAAGTCCTCCACAAAGGCAAATTTCTTCCAATACTTGATCCAGGAGTTCCCTTGTCTTCTGGATTGGGTTCAAAATTACATGGCTACGGAGCTGAACATTAGTTGTTGTAAACCCAAAAATTTAGTCGGCTGTTCAACAACGGTTATTAAAAGCTCAATGCTCAGAGGATTAAAGCCATAAAAGTTAGAAGTGACTAAACATTGTTATACTCAAATGATGTTATTAACTCAATATAATGACATCAAACAGTAATAAAAAATAACTAACATAAAGGGAATAAAATTAAGAATAGGAGATATCTCTTCTGCCTTTACTTTAAGAACTAGCTGAGAGAACAAAAATTAGATATTTTAAATTAAACTTTAAGTTCATTGAGGAAATTACAATTTTTTTAAAACTTTTATCTATATTGATTTTTACACAATTTCCATTCACAAAATAATGAAGATAGATACACTTATAAATTATTTTTTGTACTTACAAAATATCTATGAAGAATACAGCAATGATAAGAATTCCTCCAGCTGCACAACCCAGAAGAGAGAATGGGTTTATACGCGGGCATGTATTACCTGAGATGCCAGGAACAACATGACTTAAGCTACAAAAGTATAGAAGAAATATTCAGGTTTTGTAGTGGTTCGAAAAAAACAAACTAGGACATAGTTTGGTACAATAAACACTTATGAAGGAAATGACAAGAGCTAAAAAAATTGTGTGATTGAAAATTTTGTTTCAAAGGGCATATTTCTGCAACTTTTTAAGAAAAAAAAAAAAAAAAAAAAAGCAGGCTACATTCAATGTTTTAAGATAGCAACAAGTTGATCAATAATGATTTTAATATAAGGTGCTATCTTACACATTTGTACAGATAAAAAGAAACTTCGAAAATTTTTCTTGACTTCGGAAATAAATTTACATGCAAAATTTTGCATGCAAATTTAAAAAAAGTAGCTTTTAAATTTACATTTAAGTCTAAATGGTCACATACACCCTAGCTGGCTAAGTACATGGCCTCAGGGCTCTATCTGTAAATAGCCACGACAAAAATGCCTCATTATTTTGACCCCTATCAGCTAACATAATTAGATACCCTTTTTTTTCTACCATAACAGGATATTTTTTCTTTTTCTACCATAGTAACAGGACTTTAAGTCAAAATAGAGTTAACTTGCCCCGTGTAGCACAGGACAGTTGTTTAATTGGCCACTAGACTTAAACTCACAACCTTGAGCTAATAACCAAAAGTCAAAGCTATGCCCATACCGGTACCACTGAAGCACCTTCAAGGCAACAGCATGTGGATGCAATAATAACAGCAGTAAACTGTAATTAAGTTTCACATAGCTCAAAAAATATTTCATATATGTTTCGTTAAAAAAAATACATTTTGTTAAATAAAAAAAGGATTCAAAATTAAAATTTATGTTATTCTTTAGGTTATTCTTAAGATTTCCTTTTCAAAATTCACATGTGAGCATATCAAAACAATAAAAAAATTAAAGTACATACAAATTAATTTATTTTCTTTGACGGAAGAGGTTTTGATTTTTATATAAATTTCAAGTGAAATAATTTTGTCAGTTTACCTCTGGTTAAAAGATGAAATCCGATTTTGAAGCCAGCTTGAATCAGATGCACAAATCACCAAATTGAGGCCTTTATTTTTCATGCAATGTGTCACTAACATGTGACAAATAAAGGCAATAAGCACACCAGGAAACAACCTGCCCCTAAACAGAAGACATATTATAATTAAATGTTTTTAAAAAAAAATCACACAATATAATTAAATCAATAATGACCTAAAATATAACAATATTTTGTTGTTTCATTAGGATGTCCAAAATTTGCGATCTCTTAATCTATAACTATTAAATTTATGACTCTTAATAAATGTAAATTTGTTTAAAGATGTTAGTTTATGTATTCTTAATAACACTTTTTAAACTTTTATTATTGGTAGCAACCAAGGTAACAATTTTACCAACCCCAAAAACGCTGAATAGCGTTTTTCAAAAAGAAATTAAAAAACTTTTTTAATTGCATAGCTGCCAAATTATTAGGAAAGATTTTACAAGGTTGGTTTTGAACTTGTTGCTAGTATAGATTCCACTGTTTGTTGAAATGTTGTAGATAATTATGATCAGTGTTGGCTTAATTGCATAGTTGCCAACTTGTTAGGAACGATTTTACAAATTGGTAGTAAAATAATCAGGGTGCGTAGCATTTGTAAAAATTACTTAAAGGTGCTTTTTGGGGGATTTCGTTTTTAAAAGCTTTTAAAGGTGCTTTTTTCAGCTGGCGTTTTTAAAAAGTGCTTTTTCTTTCTTCCTTCAGTGATATCTGGCGGATCCCCTGCATTCCACGAAAAATGGGGTGTTTGCTACGGAATCACTAACACGGACTTCATGTCGTACCCACGTTATGACTTGCGCATGCGCGCACACTCGAAACTGAAACCCAAGGGCTCCAATTTGTATAGAGTCAGATCCTCAATAAATGTTTTTCTTTTTAATTTATTTTAATTTTATTCTTGTTTATTTTATTTTACTTCTAACACTTTTTTGATGTAGGGGGTAAGGGTACTTTTGTTCTGAGTTCAGAGTCAAGTTGAATTCACTCGGTGATGTGGGAAAGTACTGATTGTTTCGATTTACGTCCGTTTCTTTTGGGTTTTTTTTTTTAATGCTAAAACTGTTCATAAAAAGTTTTTGTTCTTCAATAATATCATTGATTCAATACGAATTTTTTGAGTGCTTGAAAATTTTTGTAAAGTGCTTGAAAAGTTTTTAAAAAGTGCTTATTTTTGATTCAAAGATTTGGCTACGCACCCTGATAATAAAACAGGAAAAAATTTCTTAACAAAGGCTTTTAAACACTTTAAACGCATATTTTTGTTTTATCTGTCTAATAAATTGATCTTATACACATGTTTGAACTATTGATTTGCTATAGTGGTTTGCAATTAGGTTTGAAACTTAAGAAACTAAACTTCATACTTTAAAAATAAATGTTACAACCATTAAGAATATTTTTTAATTGATGGTTGTACAAGTTGGCAGGTCTGTAATTGTTTATACAGTCTAATGCTTATACAAAATCTCTGATATTAATAAACAGAAAATGTGGTAAAAAAAACTATTTGAGTTAGGGCATTTTGTAATCACCTCTGGGGGCATCCTTTTTAAATATCTATATGTTCAAAGTCCATTTTTTTTAAATTAAAAAAAAGAAAAGAATGTGATGATGGCAAAATATTATATAATGCTTTCTAATTCCAACATATGACTATACATAATGGATGATGTATAGTCATGCTTAATCACCTCTGGGGGCATCCTTTTTAAATATCTATATGTTCAAAGTCCATTTTTTTAAATTTAAAAAAAAAAAAAAAAGAATATGATGTCAAAATATTATATAATGCTTTCTAATTCAAAGATATGACTATACATGAAGGACGATGTATAGACATGCTTAGGGCTTTTAACCTTATACACACAAATAAACCTTAAATTTGAGTTATAAACTAAATTAAATTCAAGAGACTTACGTGTGAATTTGAGTTTGTTGAACCCATCTTCCAATGCTAGAATAAATAAAATTAGAATTTCATTTATTAATAAAACAATCAAATAACTAATACTTTATAAATATTAAAAATCGTACCCCTTCTTTATTGTGAAGAATGAACTAATGAATGAAAAAGATGCTGATGCAAAAACAGCAAGAACTTCTAGCCTTTCATATCTGTTTTTAAATATAAAGAAATATTAGTTATTCATTAAAAACTTTTTTGTTTTTTAATTTTCATACATTTAGGATTTCATTTTTGTTGCACACAACATAAACAAAAAATTAAAGGAATCAATTTTCTTTTGTAATAAATAAAGCAAAAAAAAAAAAAATATTTTAGTGACTTTATTTTAATGAAACTATTTTTAAACATTTACAATATTTATATATGTAAATATTTAGTTAATATATATGTTACTAGGTGTAAATATTTTAGTGAAACTTCATATTGTAAAAATAAATGTTTTCATTTTTATTGAAAGAATTAAATGACACAAGTGTCAGAATCAGCTATATTACAACAAACAGTTTTATACATTCAAGGTAAGAAAATTTTTTTTTTTTTTGCTAAGACACTGGAGGAAAAAAAAAAAAGACTGGTTTTTATTGAGCACACTGAGATTCAGAACACATGTTTATGCGAAAGTAAATCTGTGGAAATTTGCTACATAAAATACTGTTCATCAACATAATTGATATTTCAATTTAATTAGTCAAAAAATATTTTAAATCTACAATACTCAAAAAAAATTCTAAAATGAAATTTTAAAAAGGTGTTTCTTAATCATAAAGTTTTTCAATATAAATCAAATCATAAAATGTAATTAAAACCTAATGATCTTGAAATATTTTTTTTTTAAAGCCTATAACTATAATGCAGGAAAAAAATTTGTTAGTTTCAGTAAATTATTTATTTCTTTAGCTATGATTTTTAAATAAAACTTACCCAAAAGTATACTGATGATTGGGTTTCTTTTGCTCTACCCATATACTAAGAGCACAAATGCATAAACTGTAAAATAAGATAGAAATAAGGCAAAGAAAAATACTACTACTTTTGCAATTTTGCCTTGTACTGATTTCACATTAACTGATTCAATAAATGAGTACAAAAAATTAATTAAACTCAATAAATGTTAGTGCATTTATTGCCACATTTTTTTTTGACAAAAAATACAAGTTAGGTTACATTTTTGTAACTATTAATGAAGAATATCTAAGTAACAAATTATTTTTTTTTTAAAAGTGAAAAAAGTAAAAGACTAATTATTTTAAGAAAGTTATAATTATAGTTGAAATCTTTATTGTTAGCAATTCATATCATTAAACTTACGAAATTGAAGTCATTTTTTGAAAATTATCATTATTTTTAATGAACAAGAAAAATTGTCTTAAAAATATTAACAATAGAATTCTGTATTAAAAGTTTACTCAAGTTTCAAATACACAAACATAATCAATTATGATGCGTCCCTTTAATTATTATGCATCAAGATGTTATCACAATTATATATAGTTTGTACACATAAATAATTTTTAAAAGGAGTATTATGTTTACAGAATTATTTATTATATTGACCTTATTAATTCATTTAATATTTCAAGATCAAAGAATATGGTTGTCTTTCTTACTGGTGTATAAGTAGACCCCTTGATTCACGAAAATTTTGGAGGTTAAAGAAGTGAACTTATACACCAAGATACACAATAAGTAAAAAAAAAAATAATGTCATTATCCCTTAATGGTGTTCAGAGGGAGGTTGAAAAAAGACGAATATTCCATATTTCACTGTAACATTTTCATTTAATTCTGTCATCAAATTATGTAATTACAGTCAAACCCCGCTATAGTGAACCTTCAAGGGACCGAAATTTTGGTTCACTATAACCGGGTGTTCACTATATCCGTTACGCAGGCAATTTAACTAATGGTTCCCAAACTCCTCTCTTTTATCACACATTATTCAAATAAATGACTGAAAAATATTATGTAGCAGCAAAAAATTTCTTATTTTTCATTTCTCTTCGTCTTGCTTACGAAAAAAATTAGTAATCTTTAGCTGATGAGCAGATTTGGATAGTTTACATTACCTGAAAATATCAGCTTGATCGCATCAATTTTTCTGATTATTCATTTTATCACCAAGGGAGGACGTTTACTGCTCGCTATAGTTAAATTTGAGACACTTGTTTGAGGCTTTTTTCAACTAAACTGAGAGCAAAAAGGAGTTGAAATGAGAGCCTTAACACACATTAGTGTCCAACCCTTTAACCAATAATGAAAAATTAATAATTCCAACTGACAGAAAATGCATATTGATCCCACTGACACCTTACAGATGCATCATCTGCCTGAGTTGGAAACATCTGCTTGGTTTGCTTAAGGATGGGAAATTGGGATAAAAGAAGTAAACAAGAAAAAATGCTTATCACAACATTCCCTTCTGTAGATGGTTTTCAAAATCGGTATATGTACTTATTTTGAAGTAGAAATTTCAAAATTATTGGGAAAAAAATCAGTCGAAGACAGAAAAAAGTTCATTATATCCAACTTCTCACTTTTTTGGTTCACTATATCCACAAAAAATAACATTATGCATGTATAGCAAGGCATGGGACCAAACATTTCGTTCACTATATCCGGGAGTTCACTATAAACCGTGTTCACTACAGCGGGGTTTGACTGTAGTAGTTTTTCTACTAATGTTTTAAAGCTACCATTCTGATTAAGATTTTAGGAAAAATCAAATCTAAACTGAAATACTTTAAAGATACTGATTTACTTTTCTATTCTTACAAAAACATGAAAACTAGCCATATCTGAAGATGAAGGAGTAGAACAACCAGAAGCAGTAATCATTCATTGAATAAAATGTATCTACTGTTACTTGTGGGATCGCAGCTAACTGACAGATTTTTTTTTATGAAATTGAAACAGCTAATTTTAAAGACTTAGTTTAGGTATGAGGAATGGGAACATTTTGGTTACATAGGGTAGCAGTTCCTAGATTTTTTGGCTGTGGAACCCTAAATGGTTGAATTTTTTTGGCAGAACCCTAAGATTTAATGAATAAGTTTCATTAGCAGTTGTGAAAATATTAACAAGAGTCTATTAATTATTTTAAAAATATGCAATAATCTAAATTTTTTTTAATTATTTTGGAAAATATTTAGTGAATGAAGGAAGAATGAAATTTTTTCGGCATATTGTTATTGGTCTTGAAATTGGGTTTGATGTCAGAATTTATGTCTAAAATTATGTAAATTCCCAGGTCAGAAACAGTAACTAGCCTAGCTCATAATTTTAGTTCATGCTTAAACTGAAAATGAATGAGATGGGATATTGTTTCCTTTAAAATAAAAACCGAAAAGGATGAAAAACTTAGAGAATGGTTATCAGAGAAACATACTTCTTTCACTTTTAAATTTGGTTATTTTTATACGATGCGAAAAACTAAAAATTTTCCTAGATGCACATTCATAATTCATTCATTTTATTGTTATTATAAAAAATTTCTCTCCTCGATTATTTCAATTAAATAGTTTCATAAATGCAACATTAAATATTTCATATATACAAATAAAAAATGAATTATTATTTAAATATAAATTTAGTTTTCAGAAATTATAACTAGCAAAAATATGTCCCAACGCTCGGTACTCCTGTGATCTTTCCACAGAGCCCTAAGGCTCTGTGGAACACCATTTGGGAACCACTGACAGAGAGAATTCTGCAATGCTGGTGTTTGTTAGAATGAGATTTGTCGTGAACTTACCATAATGTATCGAAGAAAATAAGATAAGTGTAAGACAAAAGACCTAAAACAAAAAATTACAAGCATAACTAAAATAGAATGTGAGAAATGAAAACATTTTAAAACCTAAAACAAGGAAAAACAATGTTTACTAGAATAAAGCTTGGGATTTTAAGGATAAAAATATGTTTTTGAATACAAAAAGTGATAAGCGTTTTAAATAAGACATTTAAAATAAAAAATCCTAATTAGTTTAAATTATGCAATGTTAAAAATTGGTACATAAACATTGTAAATAATGTTCACAGAATGATAATTTTTTTCAAAGTGTATTCCTACAATCAAATCTGCATAAATTCTGTTTATTTTTCTAAATATTTTATTTCAGGGCTGTTATTATTTTACCTAACTCAAAAAAATCCAAGTGGGTTTTTTCATAAGTGCATTTTAATATGAACAAATCAGCTCTCAATACTAAGGTTGTAATAGAATAAAATACAAACTGCATACATTGAAATATTTATATTTCCATTACTTCTATATTCTGTGCTTTAAATTTTTAATTAACCTTTTTAAAGACACATATTATAAATTGCAAAATATGTACTAAGGTATTCTGACAAAAATTTGAGATACTAATCGTCAATACAACTGAAACTAATGTATTGATGATTACAAGATACAATATATAATATTTTTAGCAAAACATGATTAAATGAAATAGGAAAATAATAAAAAAATTATTCTTTAAAATTTCTTCGACCAGTGAGTCTTACTACATGTATTTATAAATAATACTTTTAAAATAAAGCACCTTTTAACAGGTGAAATGCTTGTTCTAGAATTTCAGATTTGATGTATTTCTTGTTGTTGAAATCCTAGAACTTATTTTAGAAGTTCTCTTTCACTGTACATAACATAGGACACAATATAATGTTTACAATACAATGTGAATATAGGTAATACGATGTTTCATTGCATAGACACATTTTCCTTTTAAAAATTTGAAAATTGATGTTTTTTATTTGAATTAAAATAAATAATTTATTTATTTATTTACTAAAACATTTAGTAGTTTTCCTAATTCTAAAACAGAATAGGTAAATCTTATAAAGAGAATCGAATCCTATTACTGTGGGTAAAAATATTATTTTTAATTTATCTACGTAAATTAACGTAATTTTGCGGAGATACGCCACCCTGGGATATATGCTGCACCCATATAATTAGACTAGAAAGGAAAAGTTTTTCATCAGAAAGGTCGCACAAACTTTTACTGGGTGATTGATCTTGGAGTTAAAGCATTTATTTCAAATAACAAGTTGTATAGAAAAGAAATGATTATATGTTTAAATATCATTTAAATAATTATTAAACTAATATATGTGATCTTACGTAAAATCAGAAATTATGAATAGTGATTATTTACATCATAACTTTTTAAATGTAAGCAAAATTGTACCGTGAACAATTCTGCACAGTTCAAATGAAACACAATCCCAAAAGCATAACATTAATAAAAACCAATTTAAAATAATCGAATTTTATGTAAACCAAGTGATTAAGAACCTAAATATAAGTTATCAAAATACAATAAATTGATGAAAAGAATGTAACATAACATATAAAACAACCGCATTACGTAGTTTTATCGTAATTTGATTTGAAATATCTAAATACAATTAAACAGTTGAAAAACCCTTACAATATTTTAAAAATATTAATAATTAAATAAAGTAAATTAAATCTGATAATGTGTAAAATTGAACAACACAAAACAATCTGAAATGCATCCTGTTTCTATTTACTAATTTAAAATTACTAAAATTTTAACCGATCAAATGATAAACAGGTAAAAACCTTTAGAATAATTAAAAAAAAAAAAAAAAAAAAAAAAAAAAAAAGATATAAGAAGTAAACAAATAAAATAGTTTTGTGCAAAAATTAAAGCATATAGTGATCACGAAAGCATTATTTCTTTTATAATTAATTTATTATATTCCAGTTATAAATAAATCAAATGAATAAACAGATAAAATTGTTGAAATAAAACTGTTTTTCCCGTCCATTGTTAATTCTTAAAATCATTATTGATCGTAAATTATAAAAAGAGTATTGCTGTAAAAGATGAACAGTAATCATGAAGTTTTGGAGAATCAATTCAACAAAATAGAATTTGTTAGTTTAAATAGTAAAAAAAAACCCATCTGGCCACCCCATTAGATATGTCGCATTTATCGACGTATCTCCGCAAAATTACGGTACATTTATAATAAAATGTGTTAATAATCATGGTTATTAATAGCTTAATTATTAATTATATTAATGGCATTTTTTACTGCAACAAGACTTCGTTTCAGATTATAAAGAATTAATAAAAAAAGATGAATAACTCAATAAAGTTTGAAAAAACCTGCTGAAACCTTGAAAAAACCCTCAATACCCTGAAAAAAAAAAAAACCCTGGGTTTTTCACAATTCTGCTTTCTAAACTCGACCCCCTCACTGTTCTAAAAGCTTAATATTTAAATTAATAATAAGAGCATATATGTTACAAACTAAAAAAGAAATGGCAAAACTATATTTAGCATAATGCATTATTAAATTGTTTTTTTTAAAGGGAAAAAAAGTTATTTGTACTTACCAACACTTCTTGTACTATTGCACCAATTTATAAGTAGCAATAGAGAAGAAACATTCAGCAAAGTTAACCAAATTATTCTTTGAAACTATAAAATAAAATTTTTTTTTAATCAAATCATGCAAGAAAAATAATAGTAATTAAAAAAAAGTCAGCAATTATGGCTCTTAACAATTTAGTTTATTCATTATGAAATGTTTTTTGTTTTCTTTGTTTTGTTAAATGAAAGATCAAATTAAGCAAAAAATAATATAGCATAATGCAATTTATATGTATTTTGATTCTATTATAGATATTAGATTATATGTTATAATTTCCTTTACGCGTTGCAAAAATTTGATATGTTACTACTAATAAGTCAATAAATTTACAACATAGGCAATTTTTGCATGGAATGTATATAAACAAATGTATAGAATCAGGGGAAAATTCAAGATGCATTAAATTTTTAGTTTGATGCTTAAATTATAATTCAATATTGCACATTTAATCTTTTTTTTTACTCATCTCATCCTCTCAGCTCACAAGAAATTGAAACTTAAATTGGTCTCATTGATTTGTTGATCTCATTGTGGAACTTCAAAAAAGTTATTAAGATGATACACATTTAAAATTCCAAATTAATCTTTCTTAAATACACTTATTATTTATTAATTACATTTATTAATTACATTTTTTAAAAATCAAAATTTTATTTTAAAGATAAGCTAACTTCAAGATATTTTACATTTTTACTGAAGCTTTTGTGGCTAGTAGGACTGGGCTTTATACCGATGTAAGACAATATATCGATTTAACTCCAACATCGTAATACCGATNTAAATCTGTTATTTTACCTTAATTTTAATTAAAAAATATTTTAAAACTTGCTGATTACTAGGACTGGGCTTTATACCGATGTAAGACGATATATCGATTTAACTACAACATCGTAATACCGATTTATCCATTTCATCTTCAACAAAATTCCGGAGTGAGCATTTCGACTCTACTAAATCGATTTATTCATGACAGCAAACGCTAAATCGATGTTGCTCTCTCCAATGTAGTGAAACACCGGTTTAATCATTGCGAGAATGTACAGAACAGAGTCCGATCTGCCGTAGCGTAAGGGAAAGATTCAAGGTCAACTATCAACTCATTCTCTTGGTAACACGTGTGCTCAACTTCTTTGGCTATTTGCCAAAATCACATCTGGTGCAGGGGTTGGTATAGTTAAATCGGAATGGGCCATTGAATCTCTTCATTCAAAACTAATTCACTAGGTTATATCGATATTTGGCGGTTGAAAAAAAAACTCCGATATAGCAGGGATCGGTGCAGTTGAATCTCCTCATTCAGATCGATATAGCAGGGATCGGTGCAGTTGAATCTCCTCATTCAGATTTCAAGTTTATATCGATATTTGCGGAGGATTTTTTACCACCAAGTGTATGTGATTGTCTTCTCTTTAGAATTCCGATTTTAGGATATCTTGCTCGTGCAGGAGGGAAAATTCCCATCTTCAATTTTACATATCCTGATTTCTGAAATAGGT